TCATCCACGCAGCACGTGTCAGAAATTCCTTTCTCTTTAAGGCTGAATAATATTTGATGGTACCTATATACCACATTCTGTTTTATCTATTCGTCTGTTCATGGACACTTGGGTTGTTTATGTTTCTTAGTTCTGTGAGTTATGCTGCTGTGGGTGTGGGTGTGCAGCAGCTGAGTCCCTGCTTTCAGTTCCTTTGGGTACCTACCCAGGAGTCGATTTGCTGAATCTTATAATTCTCTACTTAAGCTTTATGAGGAGCTGCCAAACTGTTTTCAGCAGCAGGTGCACCATTTTACAGGCCCACCAGCAGTGCACAAAGGTTCCAGTTTCTCCACGTCCTCACCGGTATTTGTTATTCCTTGTCTTTTTGACAATAGCTGTCCCACTTCATATGGGTCTGAAGTGATATCTTACTGTGGGTCTGATTTTTATTTCCCTAACGACCGATGATATTGAGCATCTTTCCATGTTGCTGATGGGCTATCTGCGCCACTTCTTCAGGAAAATGTCTAGTAATCCTTGGTCCATTCTTTAGCTGGGTTGTTTGGGGGTTTTGTTGTTGTTTTTATAGGAGTTCTTTATATATTCTGGATATTACCCTTATTAGAAATGTGATTTGCAAATACTTTCTCACTTTTTGTATGTTGTCCTGCAACACTCTTTTGCAAAGTTTTTAATTTTGAAGTTGCATTTATCTAGTTTTCCTTTTGGTGCCTTTACCTTCGTTGTCATATCCAAGGAATCACTACCAAAGCCAGTGTCAAAGATTTCCCCCTATATTGTGTAGTTTCAGCCACTGATCCATTTTGAGTTAATTTCTGGACGTGGTGTGAGGGTCCACCTTCATTCTTCTCCATATGGACATCCAGTCTCCTGGCTCCTTTTGTTGAAGAGTCTGTCCTTTCCTCCACTGAATGGTGTTGGCACCCTGTCAGATCACTTGAACACGTATCCAGGACTTTATTTGTGGGCCGTCTGTTCTGTTCCATTGCTCAGCGTGTCTGTCCATATGCCAGCACCACACTGTTTTAATTACTGTCACTTTGAAGTAAGTTTTAAAAATCAAGAATTGTGAGTCCTTCAACTTGGTTCTATTTCAAGATAGTTTTGGCTATTTGGGGTCCTTCGGGAATCCATTTTAATTGTAGAATGGATTTTTCTGTTTTCTGGAAAAAAATGTCATTGGGTCAGACAGAAAATAAGTTTTTGGTGGTGAGCACAGTGTATATAGAAGCAGAAATATGATGTTGTGCATGTGAAATTAATACAGTGTTATCAACCAGTGTTCCTTCAAAACAAAAGTCATTGTTTTGCTGTGGATTTTGTTGAACAGTAGGTCACTTTGGTAGTATTGATGTCTTAATGTTAAATCTTTCTGTCCATGAACACAAGATGTCTTTCCGTTTATTTATCTTTGTTTCAGCAGTATCTTGTAGTTCTCAGTTAAAAGTGTTTTGCCTCCTTGGTAGTGTTTTGCCTCCTTGGTTAAGTTTTTCTTAAAATTATTTTTTCTTTGATGCTATTTTAAATGGAATTGTTTTCTTAAATTTCCTTGTTGGGTTGTCTGGGTGTTGTATAGAAACAACTGGTTTTTGAGTGTTAATTTTGTATCCTGCAACTTTTGCTGGATTTGTTAGCGCTAACGGATTTCTGGTGACTCTTTAGGATTTTCTACATCATGTCATCTGCAAACATGGCATTATAATTTTACTTCTTTCTAATTTTGGTGCTTCTTCTTTTTTTGTCTAATTGCTCTGGCTAGGGCTTCCAGTACAGTGTTGAGTAGTGAATAGCAGTGCTGAGAGCTTCCTTGTCCTGTCCTGCTCTTAGGAGCAAAGCTTCCATTCTTTCATCATTGAGTGTGATAGTAGCTGTGGTTTTTGCATGTATGGCCTTTATTGTGTTGAGGAAGTTTCCTTCCATTTCTCCTTTGTTGAGTGTTTTCATTATGAAAGCATGTTGAATTTTGGTAAGTGCTTTTTCCTGCAACAATTTTTATGTTTTAGTCCCCTCAACCTCTTTATTCTGTTAATGGCGTGTATTACACTAATTGGCTTTATATTTTGAACCATTCTTACCTTCCAGGAATAAACCCCATGTAGTCATGGTGTAGAACCCTTTTAGTGTGCTGCTGAATTCAGCTTGCCAGTATTTTGTTGAGGATTTTTGCATCGATGTTCATAAGGGATATTTGTTTGTAGTTTTCCTTTTTTTGTTGTGTCTTTTTGGCTTTGGTACCAGGGTAACACTGGCTTCATAAAATTGAGTCAGGAACTGTTCCTCCAATTTTTTTGGAAGAGTTTGAAAAGGATTGGTAAATTGTATGCTTCTAGGAATTTGTCCATTTCACCTAAGTTATCAATTTGTTGGCATACTGCTGTTCATATTATTGTCTTATAATCCTCTTTATTTCTGTAAAATTGATAGTAATGTCCCTAGTTTCATTTATGATTTTAGTAACTTGAATCTTTTCTTTTTTCTTGTAGTAATCAAGCTTTAATTTTGTAGTTTTGTTGTTCAAAGAACCAACTTTTGCTTTTACTGATTTGTTTTATCCCTGCTCTTTATTATTTTCTTCCTTTTGCTAAGTTTGGATTTGGTTTGCCCTTCTTTTCCTAGTTCCTTAAAGTGTGAAAAGTTAGGTTATTTATTTAAGGTCTTAGTTTTGAATGTGTTTAAGCCATAAATTTTCCTCTAAGCATTGCTCTCATTTTATCTGATAAATTTTGGTACCTTGTGTTTTGTTTTTGTCTCAATTTTCTGGTTTCCCCTGTGAATTCTTTGACCCAGTCTTGTTTAAGGTTGTGTTAATTTCCATATGTTTGTGAATTTCCTGCATTTGCTCTGCTTTTGATCTGATTATTGTGATCAGAAAAGAAACTGATTTCAGTCTTTTTAAGTTTATTAAGTGGTCTAACATATGGTCTTTCGGGAGAATGTTGTACAGTCTGCTGCTGTTGGGTGGGGCGTTCTGTGTACGTCTGTTAGGTCCTGGTGGTTTATAGTGTCGATCAGTCCTCTGTGTCCAAGCATTGTAGAACTGTCTGTTTCTCCCTTCAGTTCTGTCAGTGTTTGCCTCATGTTATTTTCAGGCTCTGATGTTTGGTGCCCATATGTTTATAATTGTTACAGTCTTGGTGAACTGATCCTTTTATCAGTAAATAAAAAGGATCCTCTGTTCTCTTGAACGTGAGCGTTTGACTGACAGTCTAGTTTGTCTGATATTAGTGTGGCCACTTCTGCTCTGTTGTTTGCATGGGTATTTTTTTTCCATCCTTTCACTTTCAGCCTGCTTGTGTCTTTGATCTGAAGTGAGTTACAAAGATTATATAGTTGGATCACAATTTTTTATCCACTTGGCCAGTTTATGCCTTTGAATGTAGGAGTTTAATCCCTTTACGTTTAAAGTAGTTATTGTTAAGGAAGGATTCCAGGAAACAGCAAAATTTGTCTTACAGCTTTTTTTGTCCTTCATCCTCTCCATTACTTTTTGTTGACCTCCCTAAGCAACATATTTTGACTTTTTTTCGTCTTATTTCCTTTTGTGTATATTCTACCTAGCTATTTCCTCTGTGGTTGCCAGGGGATTACATAACATCATAAAGCTATTAAAGTCTAATTTGTACACGACTGAGGTTGGTATAAATTCAAAGACCTCTCCTGTACAGCTCTGCCCCTCACCCAACTTTGTTACTGATTTCAGAAATTACCTCTTTATACATTGTGTACCCGCTGACACAGATTTGTAATTATTTTCATGCATCTGTTTTTTAAATCCTGTAGATTTGCAGATCAGAATCGCAGCACTGTTTTGTGGTTTGCCTGTGTATTTACTGGAGGTTACTGGAAGAATTCCCTCCCAAGCAGGCCTCATGGTAATGAAGTCCCTCCGCTTTGGTTTATCTAAGAGTATTTTGACTTTGCTCTCATTTTTGGAGGATAGTTTTTTGGACATAGAGCCCTCAGTTAACAGTTTTTCTTTCATCTCACTCCTTTCTGGCCTCCGAAGTGTAGCAGAGAAATGGGCTGGTAATCTTACTAAGAATCCCTTGATGTGATAGGTCACTTCTTGCTGCTTTTGACCTGGCTTTTGACATTTTTATTCTGTGTCTTGGTGTGGGTCTCTTAACTAACTCCAAGTTCAGTGAGCTGAATTTGTAGATTCATGTCTTTTATCAAATTGGGAAAGTAATTTCCTCAGATGATCTCTTTGCCCCCTTTTTTCCTTTGGAGACTCCCACAGTGTATCCAACAGTGTCTTTCTCTGTCTCTTCGTTGATTCTTTTCTCTGCTCAAATCTTCTTCAGCTCCGTATTTTTATGGTTCCTTTCCATGATAGCCTTCAGTTCTTTGAGCATATTTAAGACACTTGTTCTTCAGTCAGCCCAGTGTCTGGGCTTCTCCTGGGTGGTTGCTTTGTATACCTTGCACTGTTTTGTTGAAAACTCTACCGGGCTGTGCCAGGGTATCCTTTACCACTAGGCTGGGGGTGGCCATGGGCAGGGCTGCTTTTGGATGTCTTCATCTCCCCAAGAGTCGCCCCAGCTTCTTGAGCCCTGGGTGGCCTGTTGTGAGTCCACCCATAGCCTCTTGCCCCTCTCCTGTCTGGAATCTGAGTTGGGCAAAACAGGAAGGCTGGGATGCTGCCGATGAGGTTGACCCACTCCTCACAACCACGCTGGGAAGAGGGCCAGTGAACAGGCCATAGGACTTGTTTTTCAAGCTTTAAGGTGGCTCTGTTGTGTGGTACTCGTTTGGTTGCTGGAGACCTATTTTCCAGAACTGGAAAGTTAGCATAGCTGGTTTCTGGTGGTTCTTTTGATGTTTTCAGTTATGAGCATGGAGCATCCTAGTTTGGTACTTGGCTTTGATGCACTCAAGCTCTTTCACTCCATTTTTAAAGTTTAAACCCACTAGCTCTTTTTCTGAACTGCCCTGGTTTTGTGGGTTGCCATTTCTGCCCGCCTGCCCACTCAGCATGCCGTGCTCTCCCCTTCCAGGGCCCGCGCATCTCTTCAGACTCTCTGGCAAGTGCTTCAGCCTGGTGGAGTCCACGTGAGTGAGGGGAGGGGCAGGCGTGGCCAGGGGCTGGGACCCCCCTGATGGCACTGTGCCCCCAGGTACAAGTACGAGTTCTGCCCATTCCACAACGTGACCCAGCATGAGCAGACCTTCCGCTGGAACGCCTACAGCGGGATCCTTGGGTGAGTGGGGCGGGGGCAGGTGGCTGCGGCAACGGGGGGTGGTGTCCCTCTGTCTGTCATCCACCCCGCTCCACACCCCAGCCTCATGCACTGTGCTCCTCCCCAGCATCTGGCACGAGTGGGAAATCAACAACAATACCTTCAGGGGCATGTGGATGAGGGATGGCGACTCCTGCCAGTCCCGGAGCCGGCAGAGCAAGGTGGGCTGTGTGGGAGGGGGCCGGACGTGGGGGGCCCAGCGTCCCCCACCCACTCACACGGTCCACCCCCTAGGTGGAGCTCACCTGTGGCAAAAGCAACCGCTTGTCCCACGTGTCTGAGCCGAGCACCTGTGTCTACTCACTAACGTTCGAGACACCCCTCGTCTGCCACCCCCACTCCTTGTTAGGTAGGTGCCCGGGCAGCTGGGGGCATGGAGGTGGGGGCAGAGGGGCTCACCTAAGTCTGGTTTCTGTTGGATTCTCAGTGTACCCGGCCCTGCCTGCGGCCCTGCAGCAGAGGTGGGACCAGGTGGAACAAGACCTGGCAGATGAGCTGATCACCTCCCAGGTGAGCTGCAGGGGCAGGTGGCCCCTGGGCTGGGTGCACTGCAGCCCGAGCTACCTGCTCCCTCCTCATCCTCCACCTTCAGGGCTATGAGAAGTTGCTCCGGGCAATTTTTGAGGATGCTGGCTACTTAAAGACTCCAGAACAAAGCGAGTTGGCACAGCAGGAAGGAGGCACTAAGGGCTTGGTGTTTGAGACGCTGGAGAGCTGCAGTGAGGTACAGGTGGGGACCCTGGACGCAGGGTGGCACTCCTTCCCCCAAGGGGCTGAAGTCTCCTTTTGAACTGTTCTGTTCTAGGCACATAAAGCCCTGTCAAAGGAGGTAAAAAAACTAAGAAGTATGCTGACCCAGCATGGCATCCCCTATGTGAAGCCTGCAGGTCAGTCGTGTCTGAGGGGTTGGGCCAAGCCCCCCTGGGACCTGCTTCCTGCAGGTCAGGTCCTGACCTCCTGCTTCCTGGTGTTTTGGCAGAAACTTCCAGCTCTGAGAACTTAGGCTCCAAGACACCCACAGCCAGGACAGCAGAGCACCTACAAGACGACCCCGGACTGCATGGGAACACCTTGTGATCTGGGGCAGAGCAAGGAGTCTTGGGCCCAAGGATGCACATCCTCTGTTCCTTCTGTTCCAGGCAGCTCTCCAGGTTATACTCAAAGATGCAGACAAAACAAAGGAAAGATTCCAAGTTTTAATTAATTTTCATACTGATAAAAATAATTCCATGAATTCTGTAAACCATTGCATAAATGCTATAGTGTAAAAAAATTGAAATAAGTGTTAACAACTTTAAACAATTCACTACAATGATTATGCATTATAAATACTACCTTCTGGATTAAGAAAATTCCATTCCAATAACATTCTCATCTAAATACTCAAAACATACAACAGCTGGGGGCTTCCATAAATATTAACCCTCATGAGGCTTCTACACTGAGTCGAGGTCTGCTGTCCAGTTACACAAATGGTGTGAGACTGTAACATCACCACTAATACTGAACACCCGGGGGCTGACAGATCAGGGCAGCAAGAACAATGGCCTCACCGAGCACCACGCGGCTGCGTCCGCTACACCCGGCCCTCCCCGCGTGCAAGACGGTGACACCCTGAGACGCCGCCTGCACAGGGTGGATACCTCAGACGACCAGGCCCACTGCAGCCAGGTGGCAGAGGTGGGAAGGACCATGGGAGATTGCTGCAGGTATGGCCCAGGCACCCCCAGGTGGTTCTTTGGTCTTCCGGCTGCACACCGGTCCTCACAGCCAGCCCCAATCGGGGAGGAGCGAGTGCCCAGGGGATGTGTCTCCAGCCCCAGCCAGAGAACCCCTGTGAGCACTGCACCTCCCATCCCCCAAACTCCACAGAAAGAACTGCCCAGAGTAGCTTATAAATACACCTAAAGCTTAATTGTTCTTGTTTATAATTTGAAAATGTCTAGCCTAGCCTAGATGTCAATGATAAACATTGTCCTGTTAGCCCAAAAGAGACCGAAGGCCTGAGATGGGAAACAAGTGCATAAATATTAATAAAAATAAAGAATTTTAAACAGTGATAACAGTAGCACAAAATATACTTAATTTCTAAGAGCTAATAAATCATCATCACTATAATTAAAAACAAAGTAGATTCACTACAACTGAGTCATAGTTACCGTTAGCAGCGGGTGGGCTGCGCAGGGCTGTGGATCCACCTTTAAATGACAGAACTTTCCTATCAGTTTGTCTTATGTTAAAAAAGGTTTTAAACCTCTCACTATAGTAAATACATTCTAATTTGGTCACTGATAAAAATTTTTACCTAGTCGCTTTGCACTTTTAAAAAATGCTATAGAAAGTCTTTGGCACAGCCCCGGGCGTACGGGAGGAGGGTGCATCCCGTCCCTGCTCCGGCCCAGCCGTAGGCTCTGGGAAGATTCTCGTGCCAATATAGATCTGCCTCGCTGAGAGCAGAGTCCGGGTCAACTACAGACATCTTTTACTTCCTCCCAGATTCCCAGGAAAAGTGACCCAATGCAGACAGAAAAGTTTGAAGTCGTCACTGAACTCCAACCCATACCCAGCAGCCTTTCCACCCCTTCTCAGCAGCCAGGTCCTCCCCAACCTGTGATCACACAAGTGATGACACCTGGATGAGGAGGTCCGGCGACAGGGTCACCCTGGAGGCTGGTGGGTGTCTCCCACGCGGGTGGGGTGACCGTGGGCGAGGTTCTGGGAAGTGGGGAGCAGCGCTGCCCGTCACAGTGCTCAGAACACGGCTGTGTGATATTAGCATAAAGCCCTCCCCGATGGACCCCTGCTGCCATTCTCACTGTCACTGCCAACAGTCCAGCGGCTTCTCCGTGGCCCGGGGCACAGGCACTTGAGCGAGGACTGAGGGGCGTGGCGCTATCACCATGACGCTCCAGTTTACGTTAACGTGCACGTGTTCCGGAAGTGAGTTCCTTCCATAAAATTAGAAACATCTAAATGTATACGTGCCTTTCAATAATCACTCTGCTATAAATACTATTGGTTTGCACTTAATTTTAAAACTGTAAAAATCCTAGGAATTTCTCACTACTAGATAAATGCTCACTTCATAAGTACTAATTTCAGAATATGAAACAATATATTTACGTACTATGGATTAACAATAGACTGATATGAAATACTCTGTTCACAGTACACATATAAAGCTTCATATTATCGCATATTAAAAACATGAACCTAAAAGCAGCTTATAGCAACTCAGAACATCTGCCTCTCAATTCCTTGATCTACAAAGTGCTTCACGGGACTGAATTCCCAGGATCCGGTCACAGTAGTGTCAGGCCCGCCAAGCCCCAAGGGGCCATCAGGGTTTGCGAGGACAGTGCAAGACCGTGGAGGGGCTGCCCAGGGCCAGGGTCCCGACATCGGTGGCACTAGGATGTGGGCAGCGAGGCGGCTGTCACCATGGCAGGGGCTGGCCTGTACAGCAGGGGCACTCGGGTGCGCCGGCTGCGCACGGCTCACAGAGCACACGGTGCTGGCAGGGCCGCAGGACGGTGCCGCGGGCCCGCTCCCCGCACACCACGCACTGCTTCGCTCGGAGCTGGAAGATCACCTGTGGGGGAGACATGGTTAGGGGTCCTCCCTACCACCGCCCCAGCCTGGCGTGGCTGGAGGAGGAAAGCCAGGGGTGGGGGCCCATGAGGACATCTGAAGATGACTGGCCTGTCCCCCTGGCTACAGTGAGCGGGCAGGGGACATGCAGAGCAGGGTCAGGCTAGGGTAGACTCCCCTCCCAGGGGCTGCCCAGGAATGAAAAGATGGGGTTGGAGGTGCTTCATTGTGAGAACCCTGGGAGGAGGATGGGCTCCTGGCGCTGGAGCCATCCATGCAGCGTGGGAAGGGGTGGACAGGCAGGCAGCCACAGGGAAGGGGTGGGCCAGGATGGAGGTCCATGGACACCAGGATTGGGCTTCAAGGGACCCTGAATCGGGACCCAGCCCTCCACCCAAGAGCAGCCAAAGCCTGGGAGGCAGTGGCTGGGAGAGTGGTGAGAGATGTGCATCGCAGCTGCCTGGGGTACGGGCCATGGAGTGGGACTGTGCGTGAGAGGCAGGGCCATGGTGGAAGGTTCCCCACTGAGCTGAGGGCACTGAGTTTCATGTTGCACCAGAAATGTGGTAGAATGAGCAGCCAAGGGGGTGAACAGAGACCCTGGAGGGCAACCCAGGGAGGGGGCCCAACACCACCAGGGTTCCAGCCGCATAGGGTGGATGGCATCCCCTGTCCGGGAGGGCATGGCTGGAGAGGCGAGGAGCGGATAGGTCCCTCCTCCCTCCGTGCACAGCCCTCAGGTTCCCCAAAAAACCACAGCCAGCACTCACTCCATCAACTGCTTCCAAATCCAGGCGCAGCTGACTCTGCAGCGAATGCAACTTTGGCAGGGGGATGGTGCCAATGTCAGTGCAGCCACATAGGCCGGGAAGCACGGAGGACAAGCCCCGGCCCTCCAGCTCCTCCTGCAACCGCTGGAACTGGGCTTCCACCTCCTCCTTCTTCTGTAGTGCCAGCTGCCGGGCGCTGTCAGCCGCGAGCGCCCGCTCCTTGGCCTCCTTGGCCTCCCGCTGCCACGCGTCACAGGCCTGAAACCCAGGGGCTGCAGCAGTCGGGGCCAGGCTGGAAGCCCTCGCGTGCCCCCAGCCCCCCATTTCAGTGGCCCCTCCTCAGGCTCACCTGCTTCACCTGCTGCCAGGACTCCTCCCACTGCCTGATCTTCCTCTTGGCCTCGTCCAGCTGCCGCCGGACCCGGGCCAGCTCGGCACTGTTTGGACTGGCGCCTGAAGAGGATGCAGGGCCAGTGTTCAGGATGGGGGATGGGCTGGGAGAGAAGCTTCCAGAAACAAAGTCCCAGATGCTGCCGGGGACGCCATTCAAGCCTGTATATGGAGAAGACAGGTGTCAGCCCAGTCATGCTGGGACATCACAGACACCCCCTGGCAAGCTTTGGGGACCCCAGGCCCCACTGACAACAATGCCTGCGCTGATCTTTCTATCAGAAAAGGAAACGAGTTCCAGGTTTCTGCAGTGATGCTCAGACTCTGGTTCCAGACCCCTCATGCACTTAGAATCTGGAGAACCCCAAAGAGCTTTTGCTTACATGGATGACATCCAGTAACATATATGGCATCAGAAATTAACATTTAAAAATACATACTCTTTTTAACACAGAACAGATCACATAAGATAAATAACATTTTTCAGTGAAGTTTAAACAAGGAACGGCTGTTTCCTGTTTTTGCAAACTCATCTGCTGCTGTGTTCGATCTCTGGTGACATCACACTCCCTGAGGCAGCCTGAGAAGCTCCACATGAGTGAGGCAGATCCAACCAGTGTCTCAGAGTCCCTGACACCCCACAGAGGCTGGCTGCGCCATGGCCACCCCACAGGGGCCCCCGCTCACCAAAGGAGTTGTAGGAGCCGCCTGAGGGCCCCAGCACTCTGGGCTCCGACTTGAGGGGTGGCGGCTGCTGGGGGGGCGTCATGGCCGAGGAGACGAGCGGCCCCGACAGAGACTGGGAGAAGGAGCCAAGTGGGGAGGCAGACAAGGATGACGAGGAATGCAGGGACGGGGAGCGGGGCAGACAGCCCGGGATGGCCACAGGCGCCGAGCCCCCTAGTGACCTCTGACCTGCATGGAGCAGAGGAGCCGGGTTAACAGGAGGCAGCCTCCACTCCGGGAAACACCCAGCACTGCCCTAGCAGGGGAGCAGGTGGACACGGGGTCGGGGGGCTGCTGGGCGGACTGGGGGGCTCCCCTGCCCAGGTGAGATGTGGCCACACCCCTCTGTGCTCAGACACAGTGAATGATTCAGCAGGGGTCCTGGCAGAGGCCAGACACCCACGAGCCCTGCCTAGCCCACCTATCCATGGGCACGGTGGTCCCAGTACTTTCAGGGCCCCCCTAGAAATGGTTTATTGTAATATCAGAAGAAAACGATGAACTCTTAGGTCGAAGAAAATGACTCTATTTAACGTTAGCATATACGTCCTTATGCCAACACAGTGGTGAAACCTCCTCAGAAGGGCCATGAAGGCCTGACCCCCAATATCTCTGTAGGGGCTGTGGGGAGGAGGGGTCAGGGGAGGGCACAGGGAGGGAGACGGCCCCTTCTACCCTAGAACCACTTAAGGACTCAACAAAGGGAAGGCTTGGCCGGCCCAGGACAGCCCTGGAAAGAGCGCCAGTCGCAGGCATTACCTGTTGGTCCAAGGTCACCACCGTCATGCTCTTCCAGCTCCTTATCAAGGGGTGCAAGGTTTATGTCACCAAGGTGAAGGTCTAGGGCAGATCCTGTGGAGCAGAACCAACGTCACCACAGGAGACAAGAGAGCCTCGGCAAGAGGAGAGCATGGGCGGTGAGGACTCGCCTGGGCTCAGAGCCCATGGACCTTGGGCCCCAGCAACATAGCCCTGAGCTCACTGACTTTACATCCCTAATCATTTGGAAAAATCTGACCAAAGTAAATATGCTTGACTAGTAAAGAAAATTCCAGGAGTGTGATGTCCATGAGAAAGCAGCTCACAGACAACTCAGGCAGCATTCACGCTGACCTCCTTGGCCAGGTCACAGCAGAGACCTGCATCCCAGCCTCCTCCTGGGGAGCCGAGCTGGGTCCCACCCGCCGGCAGGGCCATTTCCATCCAGTTCTGTTGGAGACCCCAGTACACTCCAGGCCTGTTTGTTAAAGGGACAGGGGAATGGAATGTGGGCCCCTCAGCACTGGCCCCCCACCTCCCTAAGCTTTCCTGAGAAACCCTTTCCTGCAGTTTGGGGCTGCCCTCTCCCCTCACCCTGTCCCCACCTGACACTCTTCTATTGGGGCTCTTTGCCCTGGGGTCCTGGTGTTGAGCAAGCTGTCCTGGGGTAGCTGAGGTCAGACCTTCCAGCCCCCAAAGCTGGAGCTTGTCTTGTAAGTTCTTACAGCCCCACAGGGGCAGCTCAGGGAAGGTGTGGCCGTGGAACTGAGGACCAGGGGCGGGGCCACAGGAGCTCCTGGGACATACCTGGGGTCTGGCACCGCCTTCCCAGCACAGTCACAGCCACATCCACAGAAGACGGTGGTGGCATCGAAGACACAACACACAGGTGTTGGGCCACACTCAGCACCTTTCTCCTCCCACCCCACCTCTGGGGTCTGCTCTCCCTCCCTGCACCCCCTCCAGGAGGCAGGTAGGCCTCTCCTGTGTGGCCAAGTCCTGTCCCCATTGCTGGCTGCAGGCCCCCCCGGCCCCCCACACCCTTCCGGTGACACCTGGTCAGTTGCATCAAGTCCTGTTTCAAGAGGCCACAAAGCTACCCCTGCCCCCAGCCCAGGGGTGCATGACAGGGACCCTCATCAGAACCTCCAGCTCTGAGTCAGCCAGCCTGGCTTCTGGAGCCTTTGGCCTCTGCCCCACCCCCAGCCGCCTGGTGCCAAGTGTCAGAATCCCTGGACAGCATCCGACGAGTGGCATCAAATCAGACCCGCTCGGGAGAGGACTGCTCGGTTCTGACCACGTCTGCCACCAGGCTCAGCCAGACCCCAGGAGCAGAGGCCAGAGCAGCAGGGAAGCTGAGTGGCTCTGAATGGCTGCATTCAAATCTAAGAATCAGCAGGGCAAGGAGAAGAGATGGTGGCTCTCAGGACAGAGGGACCAACAGCTGGCAAGGGGGTTGTTGTCTTTTAAATGAAAGACACATTTACTGCACTTACTGGGAAAAATGGGATAGGAGTTGTGTGACTTCTGAGGAAAGTCGAGAGCTGACAGAAGGGTGGTGACAGGGAAAAAAGATTATTCCAAGCCCTTCAGGGAGACAGCAGGGCAGGGGGCCCAGGGGCACACCCACCTCTGGCCTGCACAGGCCTCCTGCCCTCCTGGGGCTCCCTCTGGTGGCGCCCCTCCCTGGCCCTGCTTCTTCACCCTTCTTTGCAGCAAGTGCCTCTCACTCGCCGGACAGCCTCTTCCCAAGGTCCAGAAGGGCAGGGGCACTTGTGTTCCAGGGCCACCAAAACCAAGCACCATACGCCAGGCAGCTTCAAACAACACAAATCCACTCTTGCAGTCTGGAGCCAGAGGCTGAGGGCAGGGTGCACAGGACTGGGCTCCCTCTGAGGCTCCAGGAACCCTCCTTTCCTGCCTCTCCTGCTTCTCGTGGTGCTGGCTATCGCTGGCTTGTGGACGCATCACCCCCACTTCTGCCTCTGTCCTCACATGGTATTCCCCCCCCCGTCTCTGTCCAAATTTCCTTCTTATAAGGACACCAGTCATACTGAATTAGGGCCCATCCTAATGACCTCACCTTTTACCTTGATTACATCTGCAAAGACTTGTTTCCAAGTAAGATCACACTCCCAGGGACAAGGGGCTTAGGGCTGAGGCTTCTCTTTACCAGGGGAGGGGAGGACATAATTTAACTCTCAACAATCGGGACCACCTAGACCCCCCTCCTCCTTATGCACCCATCCTCTCCAGGTTGTGCTCCGGTGCTTGAACGGTCACCTCTGCAGACCTAGGGCCCCAGAGCTCTCAGGACCTCTCCACAGATGGCCCTGTCTCCTGCTGTCAACTCAGCACAGAGGTGCATTCTCTGGCTCCCACCTGCTTCCCGGGACCTGACCAGAGGCCCTGCAGCCCCTCCCTCCAATCTGCACTTTGTCTACCCACTCCTTTGTGCCATCCCCAGTTTCCATCTCACTCCTCCAACTGCTGCCCCAGGCCCTGTCCTCCAACCCTGAGCTGTGCCCCTAAACCCATCTGGTCAAACACAGCCCTCGACCCCCACCTGTCCCTCTTCCCTACTCTGCCCGGGGCCACCTCCTGGCCCTGTCATCCTCCTTGGGAACCTGGCAGCCCCTCCGTGCCTGGTCTTGTGTAACACTAATCTGCAGAGGCCCCAGACATCCCTCAGGAGAGGCCCAACTGCAGCATCAGCCCCTTATGAAACTCTGCCCTCAGGTGCCTCTCTTGACCTAGTGCCCCTGGGCCACGTGCTCAGCAGAAGCCCAGCAGGAGTGCTCAGCTCCTCCTCCCTCCCTCCATACCAGTCAAGGCCCCAGGCTCCGGCCATCTCTGCAAGCTGCCCCCTCACCCCGAGTCCCAAAAGTGACTTTACTGTGATGCCAACCCCTTCATGTCACGAGTCTTGCTTCCCAAAAAGAACACACCCCTCTGTGTGCTGGTCCATACTTCCCAGCAGGACCTTGCCCCACCCTGCCCCCAGCAGCCTTCCCACCCCAGCAATGGCTCCTCTTTTGTCCTCAAGCCACAAAACTGCTATGGGCTACAGCCTGGTGCAGCTTCCATTAGTCCCACTAGTCCTGAGAAAACTCCTGCTCAGCCTCCAAAATCCTTCTCAGAATGGCTCGCTGCCCCATTTCTGCATGACACTCAGACTGTGAGGTCCAGCAGGGACCCGGACCACCGCTGGCCAACGTGCAGACTCACACACTAGAGCCAGCACCCTGACCTGACCAATGCACACCTCCCCTGCCACCACCTCTCCACGCTCCCTAGGCTGGCCTAGCCCATCTCCTCTGCCTGGGGTCCCAAGCTCCTGTCCTGGACATGCTGGTCAGCCGGGCCTCTGCACCTGGGGTGGTGGGATCAGGTGAGAGGTGGTTTGCTCAAAGCAGACAGAGGTCCAGAGATACTTTTTGAATAACAAAGTCACATAAAAAATTAAGGGATGGATAGATGGCCAGAAACAAACTGAGGACAGGAGCCTTTTCTCACTTTGAAGTTATTCCGTCCCACTCCCCCACCCCCACCCCATGACTCAGCATAAAGGGGCACCCCTGTTGCCCTGCCCCTCTCCTCCCAGGTGCACAGCAGGCACAACAGGGCCCAACCGTCACCTGACAAACCACAGCCTGTGTTCAGCCTGCAGGGCGGTCACAGCTGCTCCCAGGAGGTGTCCTGGCCCACTTTTTCTCCAGCACTATTTCTCTTGTCCTACTACACCCCTCACTGTACCCGAGGTCAGACCCAGGTCTTCTGAGATGTTCTCCTAATGGAAGAACTGACTTTTAACACTCAAAATCGACGTGAACTGAGTTACATAAACTGTGCCACCTGACCCAGAACTCGTCTTGCCAAAATACCAGGAACTGCCCAGATGTTAATGAGAAATTAGTTAAAAGCTGCTGAGTAATGGCCCTGGCAAAGCTCTGTTCCTGACATGACACAGCACATTCAAGAGGTGCCTAGGTCTCCCGGGATCAGGAGACACAGGAGGACAACACATACACAGCACAGAATCAGAGGCCAGAATGAGGAACTCCTGAAGTGGGGTGCTCCCCTGCACCCACCCTGGCCAGGATGCCCCCTGGCGGGCTGTCCTTCCCCGAACCAGAGGATGGAGAAGCACCTGGCGAACCGGCTCACTACTAGTCAGAGCTTCCGACAGTGCAGGCGGCGATTCACAGCAAGATAAGGCAGGAACCCAGTCCTAACACGGGAGCAAGAGACCCACCTCCACTAGGTGATGCAGGCTTCCCTGGAGAAGCCCGCGGCTGGCCCCCACGCAGGGAACCTGCAGGCGCTTCTGTAGAGCAGGTTTCTAAAGAGGGGGTGTTCGCGTTCACCTCACTCTGCAACCCTTAAGATCCTGGTACCGATGCCTGGGTGTGCACCTGGCTCGGGGTGCGGGGAGCACAGGGAAGGTAGCGGGGTTGGGAGATGAGAGGGAGAAGCACCTCACCTGGGAGGAGTTGGCCCACCTGGAGCGGGGGGACGGAGAAGCCGCACCTGGAGTAGGGATGCGCACGCCCCGTCTGCAGCTCCAGGGAACAACCCGCACCCTAACGATGCTGACTCACCGTCCGCCGCTGCGGCGGCCTCCGCCGCCGCCGCCGCCGCCGCCGCCGATTC